CTAGAGTTGAGAAGGCAGATTACATTTTTGAATGCTCTGGGCCGGAGGCTTGACCTAAGAAAAAACCCTAGTCCACCTTTTGGCCGGAACAATATTATTTTTGGGAGAGGACTAACCTATTTATAAGTACATGTGGTAACTGAACAATTACACAATAAAGGGAATAATACATAACGGAAATATAAATGGTAATGATTGATAATGAATATTGGCATCCACTAATTAAGCCACTAATTATTATTCATAACACTCCCCCTTGGATGTTCAATATTTAGAATATGCCTCGTTAAAACCTTACTAGGAAAAACCCTGTGAGATAAAAACCTAGTGAAGGAAAAAGAGCACATCATTCATAAATATTTATTTCTCCCCCTCATGCATACAATCTTTAAGACGACGGAGTCAGGGCCATTCGGTTTATAGCCGATTTGACACATGTGTACACCCTTTTTGGTCTTCTTCCGACACCCCCTCCCTTTAAAGAGCCACTCGGCCTGTGGCCGAGAGGGCATGATAGTTAAGCCATGTCGGACGCCACTCTAATCTTTCAGGGCCGAGATCCCACTCGGCTAAAGCCCGACTAGACCCCTTTGGAATGGGCCTAGTCGGTCGCGATCCAATTTATGGTTCCAGTATTTGTCGTAGTATCTTTAAAATAAGAACGGTTAAGGGAAATCCCTATATTCTCGGGGCATATGAAGCCCGTGACCGAGAAACTATAAAACTAAAAATCCTAGAGTTGAGAAGGCAGATTACATTTTTGAATGCTCTGGGCCGGAGGCTTGACCTAAGAAAAAACCCTAGTCCACCTTTTGGCCGGAACAATATTATTTTTGGGAGAGGACTAACCTATTTATAAGTACATGTGGTAACTGAACAATTACACAATAAAGGGAATAATACATAACGGAAATATAAACAGGCAGCAAATCAATTTGATGTTCTATTCCTCTTGAAAGGGGAAGGCCCTTTGGACCCTTGGGAGGAAATAGATCATAAAAATCTTTTAAAATAGTTTTTACCCCCTTAGGTAAAGTCTCATGTCCTCTAATTGTGGCAGTGCAAGTGAGAGTTCCTTTACAAAGAAGGATATAAGAGGGTTGTTGAATCGAGAGGGTTTGTTTAGAAATGACATTCTCTTGAACAACAACCTCTAGGGAAGGAAATCCTTTCTCCCTAGATTCTTCTCTATCCTTAGGTTTCACGGACTTTTTTTTTCTCACTTTTTTCCTCTTTTTTTTTAAATCTTTTCTCACTATATCTTTTGAGTTTCATTTGTGCTTGACCCTCAGCCACCTGTTGAGGAGAAAGAGGATGAAACACAAATTTTTTTTCTTTATGAGTAAAGGTAATCTCGTTAGTAAGGCCATTGTGCATGGTTTTCTTATCAAATTGTCATGGCCTTCCTAATAAGATATGACAAGCTTCCATTGGTACTACATCACATAGCACCTCATCTTCATAATTCCCAATGGAAAGCTTGACCTTTACTTGTTGGTCAACTACTAAGTCACCATCCTCATTAATCCAATGGAGTTGATAAGATTTAGGATGTGGACTAGTAGTTAGACTCAACTTTTCAACCAACCTAGTGCTACAACAGTTGCACCATGAGCCACTATTAATAATGAGAGAATATGCATTGTTTAAAACTTTGCATCTAGTGTGAAAGATGTTCTCCCTTTGTGATAGAGTACCACTTGGTTGGTTGTTGAGGAGTCTCCTAATCATTAAGAGCTCCCCCTCATAAGGAAAAGTAGACTCCACACCTTCCTCTTGTTCACTTGCTTCTTCCTCACTATTACTAGAGGAAGTAGTAGCCTCATCTTGGCTACTATAAATGTCATGCCCCCTTGTGGTAAGTTTGGGCATGAACATGATAATTGTTAAGAACTCCTAGGATACCCATATTGGTGGTATGCTAAGAATCATGTAGTTGTAAGGGGTAGAGGTCGCCCTGGTCGTGGTGGTAAATTTAGCAGCAGTCGTGATCGTGGGTCTACCGTAGCAAATGCTATTAGTAGGGGATGGTATTGCTACTACTCCACAACCTACTGGTGATGGTGACCACAATGGTGTTCCTACTTTATCAAATGAACATTGGTAGTAGCTTGTTGGCATGTTCAACTTTTTGAACAACAATACTTCAATTATAAAACTTGACGGTAAATGCCTTTCTATTAGGTGGATACTAAACACTGGATGCTCAAACCAAATGAGTGGAATAAGATTTTTTTCACAACCTTGTTGGATATGCCATCTTCTTTGGCGGGTTTATCAAATGGTAAACAAGCATTGACAACACAGGAAGAGATTGTGGTATTGGACGCCAATTCGACGTTGAATGGCATTTTATATGTTCCCAAATTAAACTAAAATTTGATATCTATCTTACAATTACTTACTACCTCTAATTCATATATCACTTTGACTAATAAGCTTTGTGTGATACAGGACTGGAATTTAAGGACCCTAATTGGAGCAGGTGAATAAAGTGACAGGGTTTACTGGTTCAAGCCGTAACAACGGATCCAGGCTTATCAAACGACTATGCTAGGAAGGCATAAATTATGGCATCCACTATCTCTTACCTTTCTTTTCGAGTAATGTCAATAAAGCTCATAGCATGAGTAAGGATTTTTTGTGAGTGTGAAATTCTTTTACATGCCCATCAAACTAAAAGTGTGTTAAATCAAAAATCGTTTTAAGACAACAAACTATCCCTTAAGTTTTAATGATGAAAAACGAAGGATTTTCTTTAAGCTAAGTCGACACTCTTCAAAAATAAAACATATAAGACGAAATGTAAAGAATATATAGGAGGGATGAATGTGGAGCCACAAAGTGACTAGGTGTATTGGCGTCAAAATTGAATTCAAATTTTGGCTTGCCAATGGCATCACCTTGTGCAGCCATGAAATTAGGTTGCATTTAGGTTGAATTTGGATGTCATTTATTGTGGATCAAGTGCAACCTACCTTAGGCTAGCACATGTGCACTAAATGCATAACAAATTAAACCTAAATGTGACCTAATTTAAACAAACTTGCCTATTTAATCTTTTCTCCTTAAAACCTAATCTAATGGCCTAAATACAATGGCCTACATATCCCAAACATCAATAAATAATAAAAGAAGCAAAACAAGGTCAATATTGGGTACCAAAAGACCTAAGGTCCATTAAGTCCAAAATAAGCCCAATAAGACCTATGGCCCAAAATCCTATTCTACTAGGCTCAAAATACAAGACAAAAGATATGACACCTAATATATGATAAGAGACTATATACAAGCATATGTATGGGAGGTATTGGGCATTTAGTTAGTGACCCATAGCCCAAGACAAGCCAATGCCCACTAACCTAAAAATGGGCTCAATCCTCTTAGGGTCCTCCTTGGCATGATTACATTAAGAACATGCCTATTAGATCACAATGGATGGAATACTGACGAAATGTTGTAGTAAGGCAACTTGTCAATGGTCAATTATCTCATACATATGAATGTATGACATGATATTAATAAAATAAAATTATTTATTTGTCTATGTTGTAACAATTACATGACCCATGGGTTGTAGAAAACATTGATGTTGACCAAATGTCACAAGCACCAATAGAAATGCCAACACAACAAGAATGTCCACAACAAAATACAACTCTCCATTCCAACTTAGTTGTTACTAATAATATGCAAAATAATGGTCGGGAGTCACAAACCTATTCAATTGTTGTAACTCCTCTAACATAACATCTTGATCTCTACTATGACAATTATCAACATTCCTTCGCATCAACACTAGCCGAATTTGTAAATAATTTATTTGGTGTAAATGTTGGTTCGCCACAACATATTTACAAAGTATATATCCTAACGGTATTCCATTTTTTAATCAACATGAATCTTATCTTTAACAAGAGACAAATACTTCTTTTGTTTTTGTCAATGATTACCATGAACGTATATCGCAAGATCAACAAATTGTTGATAATGAAAACAACTATACACGATATCAAAGACAAACTCATCATCACAATCCTCCATGGGATAGAAAATTGTCATCTTGTGGAACTGGTGATCATCTTTGACAATTGAGATTTTTTTAAAAATTAAATATGTTTTTAGCCCCTATAAAATTAATGATTTTGATTTTAATCCCTCTAAAACTTTTTCTTTGTTTTTCATCCTTCTAAATTTTATAAACAGCTTTTAGTCCTTGTAAAATAAGTACATTTTAATTTTGATCCCATTAAAACATTTTTCTTTGATTTTCATCTCTCTAAAATCTAAATTAACTATTTTTAATCCTAAATAATCATTTTAAGATGGATAAATAATATTTATTTTCTTAGAAGTGTTAAATATCAATATAATATTAATAATAATTGTAAGTAACACTTAAGATGATTACTTAACATTTTAATAGATAAAAAAATAATTAAAAATGATTACATAAAAATAGCCTAAAAACAATAATTTTAATTTTATAGGGATGAAAAATATAAAAAATAAAAAATAAAATCAAAATTTATTAATTTTATAAGGACTAAAAATATCTTTAAGCTTTTTTTTTTATTTTTGTATTGCACCATTTTTAATGCAATTTTGAAAATCATTATGGAGACATTTTAGAATCAATTCAAGACAAGACAGTGATTCTATTAAATTCACTACCATAAAAATCATGAATATTAATCATTATTCAAATAAAAAATAAAAATAAACATTGAACAAATTATATAAAAAAATTAACTTTTACAACAAACTTAAAGAACTTAATTAAGTAAAAAAAAAATGATTGTACACTTTTTTATAATGATTTTAATTTTAAAATAATTTAATAAAAGTATTTAAATTTATGTATTTACTATTTTATAAATTATATTATTTAAGTTATATCATTCTCATCCACACCAATGCTTTTCTCACTGTTAGAATAGTGGATTAAGCCTAACTCAACCCTACAAAACCGGCTTGTAAGGTGAGGGTTACCTAATGAATTTTCTGAGGCCAAATGTAAAACAAATTTTAAGCCTACCTCATTCGTTGTAAACAGAAAACCATAATTCTGTACAGAATTACATGCAAAAAAAAAATAAAAAAATCCTGCATATCCTTAGCATTTTTTGTTCTTCTTACCTGGTCAATTATAGTAATTGTTGATATATGTTACATGAATCATTAGTGTTCTAAGACTTTTCTCCTTGAAGAAAAGCAAGGACTTGGATGCCCGTAGAATACACATGCAAAGTAAAGCCTTCCTATTTGCTATAGCAGTACCAAAAATGCATCATGCTTTATAATTGGTAAAGTAGCTCCAAGCCTCCACTACAATCATTTCCTTCAAATAACCAAAGTAAACAAGCCATCCTCATGCAGTTAAGCAATATATTAATGTTGAAAATTCTGCTCTAGCAATAGTGTACACCAATTACCAGGATTGCTCATTAACCTTCCAGCAGCACTAGCGCAAAATTTTAAGTAATTACCCCTCAAATAGTATTTATCGGCATTAATTTGAACCAAAATTTTTCTAGCAAAAATAAAGTTATCCCAAATCAGATTGTTGAACCAGTATGAATCTTATACCAACACTCTTCAAACCCTATGATTTCAAAGAGATTATCATACCAGGCATATGATTATGGGCAGCCAGGCCAATTTTTGTTGACAATATCCTGGTATTCTAAATTTCCATGGACATACACTTTGGGCTCTTTAACCTGCAAAGGGTCAAAAAGACTTGATCAATAATTTTAGAATGAACAAAGCATTCGTTGTTTGTTGCAAATACGAATAGAACTACCAACCATTAAAATTGGTGGAAAGCCAAATTTCAAGCGCACTCTTGAGAACCCATCTTCAGTAAAAAGGCACTTGAATCCATTGATCATGGGATGTTCACTGTTAAAAATCAACAAGCAGGTCAGATGTATGGGAAAATTTCTTGCAATTGGTGCATCGACATGTGAAAAATCATATAAAAATTTCCAGTTCTAGTGCACATGAACTTCAACACACACAAGTGCTAAAAAACAAAATTGATGTTAAATAATATGGCTGTTAAAGATGCAATACAAAATATCTTCACTTTCACTTCAATAGCTTACGCTTTTGGGACAGTAGGTTTATTTATTGGTATCAATTACCGAAGGTTCTATGACCAAGTGTTCTAAATTTCATTCTGTGCTGCCCCATTCTTTTAACAAAAAAAGTTAAATTTCAGCACAAGTTTGGTGGGCTTGCACATTATCCATTCTTCAAGCTTAAAAGAATTTTGCGTGAATGGGTGTATTAGAGACATAATATAAAACTATTCATGCTTCCTCACATAATAACTTTAGCTTATGGGATAGTTGGTTCATGGCAGTGATCACTATGAACACAAATGCAGTCCTTGCTAATAACACATACTCTTCTAGGGGATCTAACATGCAGAGTTTATCAATTTTATTTCACACTTGCTCACTTGACAATAATGACACTTTCGGTCAACAGTTTGTAGGATCCCTATCATAAACATAGCATGTGCCATACAATTTATAGGTTTGTCAAGCAAAGTACAGGAAATAACACTACCAATATGTTAATAGATAACTCACTTTATAAGAAAAGTAAAATTCCTCTGCTGAAATTCTTGCAACTTAATTTGTTCTTCTTTGGAATACCTGCACCGGATAATAGTAGATAAGTAACCAACTGTTGGGAAATAGTGGAAAGCAACATAGACTGATCATTGCAATTTGCAAACAATCAAGTAAGAAATCATGAAAAGTATACTATTAATACCTCATGAACACCTAAATTTTCCTCATATTTCATTTTTACTTGGTCATTTGTATGTTTAGCTTTTACACAATTTTTCTCTGTGGGCGTCTCAGACCATGTAAACAACATATGCAAACAATCTATAATTATCAGAGTTAATTATGTTAGGCGGAGTCCCACTGTAAACTTTCAAATCCAGAATTGAACTTGCTAGCAACAAATAGTATAGAAGGCACATACAAGTAGATGTTTATAAACGTAAACCCTAGAACCACATGATGGAACATACAGGTGCTAACTAATGAACTTGAATATGATAAGCATCGGGAAAATAGATCAAGGTTTATTGTTTTTTTTCATTAGTGTGATAAGAAATGCATTCTCTAATTCTAAATAACTCCAGCTCCTTGTCACTTCGCTCAGCAAAGCTGCAGTCAGCTAAATGCCTCGAGCTGGACCAGAAAAAGCAGATTACATACTTCAGCAAGGTAAGCAAGCCCTCCACTACCTGCCTTCCCAACGGAAAGGGACCAAAGATCACACTGACAGCTTACTATGGACAAATAAAATAAAATAAACAAATTCTCTATCCTTATTTGAAGAGAAGTAAAAAAATGTGAATGTGCTTGTCGAAGAAGTTCAATAAGATATAGTTTAGATATACTAGTTTATCTTCTCCTATTTTCTAGTTTAGTTTCCTTAGTCAGTTTTATCTAAATTCCTAAACTTTAGGGATTGATTATGTTTTATGCCTATTTATTTTATTGTACCTATTCAGATTCAATAATAAGAAATTATTCATATTCAAGTTGGTACCAGAGCTCTCTGGTCCAGGAACCCTAATCCAGCCGCCAACATCTAGGGTTTCTAGGGTTTTCGAGTTTTGTTCGTAGGTTTCCGGAGTTGACACCGCCTGCACACTCAGAGGTCACCGATCGGCCTCTCCGTCGAGAGCCATCATCATCTGCCGTCTCACGCGCTCTCATGCGCGGTTCTTGTTGAGGAAGCTCGCCGGCGCGTGGGCTTCACGCGCCGCCCTCCTAGCCTCTGTTTGCGATGTGGTTCACTCCGTTGGACTCGCCGGCCCTCCCTCTTCTCGTTTTGACCCTTTTCAGGTTGTGGGTCACACTTTAGGTGGTCTGTTGGTGGTCGTTTGGTTGCAGCCTCGGAGTTCCGTGGTCGTTTGGTTGTTGTCTCGGAGTTTCGTGGTCGTTTGGTTGCTGACTCAGAGTTCCGTGGTTGATTGGTTGCTACCTTGGTGTTCCGTGGTTGATTATTTGCTGTTTCTGTGGCTTTTCGATTGAGGTTTTCTTTTGTTGTTTTTCTCCTTTTTTTTTTTCTCTTCATGGCTCAATCTCCAACTTCGGCTCTAGAGCTCAAGATTGAATCTGAGGGCAATCATCTAATCTCATTATCTACCGATGATTACAAAGAGTATCTTCAACTGAAGGCAACGCAACAAGCCTCTTCCTCTGTCACTGTTGCTCACACTGGTAATTCTACCGTCTGTCTCTCTCACTCTACGTCTATTGGACCTTGGGTTTTGGACTCTGGTGCTTCTGATCACCTAACTGGTAATGTCTCCCTTTTCCATAGCCTATCATCACCTAAAACTCCACATCATATCACTCTTGCAGATGGGTCAAAAGTCCAAGCCACTGGTATTGGCCAAATATCACCTACCCCTTCACTACCATTAAAATCTGTTTTACTAGTTCCTGGATGTCCTTTTAATTTGATTTCTATAAGTAAGTTGACTCGGTCACTAAATTGTGCCATAACCTTCACTTCCGATTCTTTCTTGATATAGGACCGGAGTACGGGACAGACGATTGGAGTCGGATATGAATCACATGGTCTCTACTACCTTCAGTCTTCTACCTCGACCATATGTGCATCTATTGAGTCTCCTAGTTTAATTCATCATCGTCTCCCAGTACTTCTACAACTGAGTCATGTGATTCTGCCCTTGCTCCAGTCTCCTTACCTACTCCGGCCCCACCTACCTCAGTTGACTTGCCCATTGCTCTTCGTAAAGGTAGTCGTTCTACTTGTAATCCTCATCCTATTTATAACTTTCTTTCATATCATCGTTTGTCTCTTACCTATTATACTTTTGTCTCTGCTATTTCCTAACCTTGAGCAACTAGTCTTGCTTTGTATCTCACAATTTCACCATTGTCATTTCGTTTTTGTACAAAATCCATTTGTATCCAATTGGTTTTACACCTTTTGGTGTACGTAGTACTGATCCAAAAAACTTTTCGCTTAGCAAGACTTGTGAACAAATATCCTATTTGTGATTTACCATTATGAGGATCTCACAAATAATCTGCGTCTGCATAACCATTTAGTTCTGGTTTGGAAACATTTTAATATAATAACCTCATATCCATTGTACCTCTAAGATAACGAAGGATTTGTTTAACTCCATTCTAATATCTTCGTGTAGGTGAAGAACTATATCTTGCTAACAAATTAACAACAAATGTTATATCAGGTCGTGTATAATTAACAAGGTACATTAGTGCTCTTATAGCACTAAGATATGGTACTTCGGGACCAATTATTTCTTCACTCTTTTCTTGGGGTCTAAATGGATCTTTGTTAACATCTAAAGATCTTACAACCATGGGAGTGCACAATAAATGTGATTTGTCCATATAAAACCTTTTAAGCACCCTTGTTATATAAGCTTCTTGATGTAGAAGAATTCCATTTTCTAAGTATTCAACTTGCGGTCCTAGATAAAACTTTATCCTTCCTAGATCCTTCATTTCAAATTCTTTCTTTAAGCAATAATGTTTATGTCATCTACATAAACTACAATTATGGCAAATCCGTTTTCAGATCTTTTTATAAATATACATGGACAAATTGGATCATTTTTATATCCTTTTTGTAACAAGTATTCACTTAGTCAATTATACCACATACGATCTAATTTCTTTAGCCTATATAGGGACTTATTCAATTTGATCGAATAATCTTCTCTAGAAATTGCATCTTCAGGCAAATTAAATCCTTATGGGAGTTTCATATAAATGTTAGCATCAAGAGAGCCATATAAATATGTTGTAACTACATCCATTAGATGTAAACTAAGTTTTTCATGTACAACCAAACTAATTAAATATCGAAAAGTGTTTGCATCCACTACAGGTGAATCTCTCTTCAAAATCAATATCGGGTCTTTGTGAAAAACCTTGAGCAACTAGTCTTGCTTTGTATCTCACAATTTCACCATTGTCATTTCGTTTTTGTACAAAATCCATTTGTATCCAATTGGTTTTACACCTTTTGGTGTACGTAGTACTGATCCAAAAAACTTTTCGCTTAGCAAGCGAGTCTAATTCTGCCTCAATTACATCTTTCTATTTTGGCCAATCATTTCTTTGTCGACAATCACTAATGGACTTTAGTACTTGATCCTCAATATCATTTATTACATTTAGCGCTATATTATATGCAAAGACGTCATCAATATTGACAGTATTTTGATTTCATCGTATTCCATTCATGACATAATTTATTGAGATCTCTTCATTTTTAATAATTTCATGTACCTGAGTTTCTTCTAGAACTGAAATATTAGTTATGTCAGAGGAATCTTTTTTGAGTTTTTACATCCTCAATTCGGTCATTTTTCTCTTTAGCTTCCTTTTTTATTCGAGGATTCTTAATTATCCTCGGAACCAATTGGTCTACCACGCTTCAGGCGTATTTGTGACTCATATATATTGTAGTATTAAATTGTCCAACAGGGATTTCGACTCTTATTGGACTAGAATAAAATAGAGTTATTATATTTCCTAAAATAGCATACGTCTCCTGTATATATCTTGTATGATCTCTTTGTATTATTAGACAGAAAATCAGTTTTCATTTAACCTAGTTTTCCAAATGGTATCAGAGCTTCCGACCTAGGAAGCTTTGTCTGCACACTATAAACCCTAAAATGGCAGCCTGCATTAGTGCTGCATTTTTTTCTAACCCTAAGACGACAGCCTGCATTGCTGCTGCATTTTTTCTAACCCTAAGACGATAGCCTGCATTGCTTTTGTATCTTTTTCCCTATACATTCGTAGCACATTTCTTTTTCCTGCAGTTTTCTCTGTGCCTTAATCGCACAACCTTTCCTTTTATTCTTCACCACTCAGCCACCTTGCTATAATGTCAAGGGAAGAGGAAGTTGTGAACCCAACCCCAGAAATAGGGAATACCCAATCCCAGCAACCTAGAGAACTGCAGAATATTCATTCTGCATATAGACTAAATGGAAGAAATTATTTGAAGTGGGCCCAACTTGTTCGTACAGTGTTGAAGGGAAAAGGGAAGTTGAGTCACCTGACGGAGTATGGACCTAAGCAGGAGGATCTCAAGTTTACTACATGGGATAAGGAAGATTCAATGATCATGGCGTGGCTGTGGAATTCATTGATTCCAGAAATTAGTGACACCTGCATGTTCCTTAACTCAGCAAAAGAGATTTGGGATGCAGTAGAGTAAACCTACTCTAAAGCCAAAGATGCTACTCAAGTATATGAAGTAATGGTGAAAACTTTGGCAGCAAAACAAGGGAACAAGACTGTTACAGAATATGTCAATTAGCTGAAATCATTATGGATGGAGCTAGACCATTATAGAGTCATAAAAGCCAAATGTACTGAAGATTCAACACTTCTCAAGGACTATATCGAGCACGACAGAGTTTATGATTTCCTTGTTGGTTTGAATCCTGAATTTGATCAAGTTAGGATTCAAATATTGGGGAAGCAAAAGGTACCATGCTTCAATGAGGTGGTGGCTATTGTGAGAAGTGAAGAAAGTAAAAGGAGTCTCATGTTAGAGAGTCCAGTAGTAGAGAACTCAGCAATGGTGGTTGACCATAAAGGAGATCAGACTTTGGCCATGATATCCGAACAGAAGAAAGGAGGATCAGCAAATGTGGAGAAGAAAGGTGATCGTCTATGGTGTACCTACTGCAATAAGCCCCGTCATACTTGGGAGAAGTGCTGGAAGTTGCACGGGAAGCCTTTAAATCGAGACCAAGAAGGGGGATATAGAGGAGGCTCCTCAAGGAAAGGAGGACAAGTTTATGTTGCTGCTGGAACAAATGAAGAAAAAAAACCAAAAGCTACTACCCATCTTAACCAAGAGGAGATAGAGAGGATGAGAGACCTTCTTAGTAAGTTGGAAAAACATACAGGTGTGTGTTCTTTGGCATACTCAGGTAAGTTTCCACTTTCTCTTGGATTAAACGTCTCAAATACACCCTTTAACCACTATTGGATATTGGACTCTAGAGCTACAGACCCCATGACACCATTAGCCAAACACTTCTCCACATATTCACCATGTCCCAGCAACAAGAAAATTGTCACAGTAGATGGAACCCTTATAACTGCAGCTGTTCACGTATATATATAAATCAATCCTTTAATAATCTTAAAAGAGTTTCTCCATGTCCCAAAGCTTTCCACGAACCTATTCTCTATACAAAAACTTATAAAGGATTTGTCATGTAATGTTGTTTTTTACAACGATCATTGTGTATTTCAGGACAAAGATTTGGGGAGGACGATTGGACATGCTAGAGAATGGAATGGCCTCTACTATCTTGAAGATCCAAGTCTGTCCAGTAATAACAGAATCTCGACCAACAAAGAAAAAATCATGCTTTATCATTGTCGGTTGGGACATCCTTTTTTGGAGTTATCAAAATTATGTTTCCTTCTTTGTTTACCAAGTTAGATGTTGAGAGTCTTCATTGTGAGGTGTGTGAACTTGCTAAGCACAAGCGTGTATCTTTTCCAATATGTTTCCCTTTTATCTTGTTCACACTGATGTATGGGGCCTTCTAATGTTCCAAATGTGTTTGGTGCTCGATGATTCTTCACCTTTATAGATGATTGTACAAAGGTCACTTGGGTCTTCCTACTTAAACAAAAATCTGAAGTCAGTTCTATCTTCCTAAACTTCCACTGCTTGATAAAAAATTAGTTTGGTGTTAATATTAAGAGACTTAGGTCACATAATGCCAAAGATTACTTCAATCATGTCCTTAATTCTTTTTGTTCCTTAATTCGTTTTGTTAAAAAGAAGGTATAATTCATGAGTCTTCTTGTGTTAAAACACCACAACAGAATGGGGTTGCAGAGAGGAAAAATGGGCATCTATTAAATCAGACCCGAGCATTGTTGTTCCAAAATAGTGTCCCAAAAAATTTATGGGGGGGAAGCTGTTCTTACAGCAACACACCTTATCAATAGACTACCTTCTAGAGTCTTAGGATCAAAAAGCCCTATGGAAGCTTTGTCATCTTTCTATCCAAATCTGTCCACTACAAATAATCTTAAACCAAGAGTTTTTGGGTGCCCTCATATGTCCATATTCATAGTACAGACAGGGGGAAACTTGATCTTAGAGCCTTAAAGTGTGTCTTTGTTGGTTACTCATCCACTCAGAAAGGGTATAAATGTTACCACCTCCCATCCAAAACATTCTTTGTGTCTGGGGATGTTACCTTCAATGAAGGCTATTTCAATCAACCTTATCTTCAGGGGGAGAGTTTCTGAGAAGACAAGGAAAGTAATTCTGGTTTTCCCACTCTTCCAGACTTGACAGCAATTGAACCTAAACCAGATTAAATTGAAGTTGTACCAAGTGAAACAAGTCAAGGAAGTGAAGTTGGTCAAGGAATTGGTCAAGAAAGTGAAATTAATTGTGAAGATGATAAAGGAGATGTTGAAGATAAGAGATTTGGTAAGAAGCTGGTGTACTCAAGGAAGACTAAGGCCATCCTAGGATCAAGCCATGTTCAAGAATCCAACTCGACTCCACAAAAAGAGGTAACAGTTTTTTCTCCAGCTATGCAAGTTGAAATTGAAACCCAAAATGATCTTGACCTCCCAATTGCCATTAGAAAAGGGACAAGAAAATGCCCCAACCAGCCACTCTACCCTCTCTCAAATTACTTGTCTTTTAAAAATTTCTCTCCTGCCCATAAAACCTTCCTAGTAAACCTAAATAGTACACTTGTACCTAATACCCTATCTAAGGCATTGTCTGACAGAAAATGGAGGCAAGCTTGATAGTGGCTTGATATGCACTCCATATGTGTCCTCTCAAGACCAAAATGCAGACATTCTTACCAAGGGATTGGGCAGCCACAATTTTGAGAAAATTGTATCCAAGCTGGGAGTGGAAAACACCTATTCACCAGCTTGAGGAGGAGTGTGGGAAATCAAATAGTATTTTAGGAAAGAATAAATTAGGAAATTTGTATATTTCCTTGTAATCTGTACAGATTTGAATAATTAGGAACAATCCCATAAATCAAGGGATTCTAGAATAAAATAGAGTTATTATATTTCCTAAAATAGCATAAGTCTCCTATATATATCTTGTATGATCTCTTTGTATTATTAGAAAGAAAATCAGGTTTCATTTAACCTAATTTTCCAGAATAACTTTGAAACGTAACTTCTAAAATAGTCGATCTCATTCCAAGTAGGACAATGAGGATTAGAGAACTATAACTTTCTTTGGATACTGAATCATAGATAAGGTCAGAGAAAGGCATGCTTTCATCAGTCTAAAGAGTTTAAGTGAAAGAACAGTTTGTATGCTATTAATAGAAAGAAGCAATACATACCTCCATGGGAAATCACTTTCACAAAAGCGAGATATCCCATTCATGGCTGAAAATGTATCAATGTGCACCCTTCGTTCATCTGTATCATTATGAAAACCTGCCACAATTAAAAATCAAAACACAGACAACAAATGTAATGACAAGAGGCAGTATCAAAAAGACAATAACAAGAAGCTCATTACATTACTATCTGTAACTTCTGTAGCATTCAATTTTTCATCTTTTATTGAAATTCCCTTTTTTCTTTGTAATTTACGTTTTTTCTGGATTGGAGTTGATTTGGGTCTCAATGACTGCTTATTTTTTGTCTTATACTTCAGTTCAGATGGAAGGAAATTATGAGCAAGGAAAGCAATTGTACATATCAAAAGATCCTATTACATCAATCAAACATCAAAGAAAAATCTTCTATAGTATTAATACCACAGTAATCATAAGCACAATCTTTTATCTTTTCACATAATCCATCATTCATTGGTTATGTTGAGAAAGAACAAAAACACGTGCTGGTAAATGAATGTTTCAACACCAGACTCCACATTTATATTATTGGAGTATAATAAATGTAATTACCACACTCTAATTAACATTTTAACATGATGGTCGTAGAAGTAGAAATAATAATAAATGTTTCTAACCAAGGTTGTCAAACTCGAGAGTCTACACAAACTCGTGGAGCTCTCGTAAACTCTTAAGAGTCTACCTAATATTAAAAGATATTAAAAACCATGAACACACACAATATGATATCACTATTTTAACATTCTAAGTCTGAAATAAGTCAAATAACAACAATAAAATGTCATAATACAAATCTTAACCATACATGAAAACTCATGAAGGTGTTCTTCGAAAACTATAGGGACGACGCTGGAAGCTACGACAACGGCGCTGGAAGCTGCAACGACGGCGCCGGAAGCTGCAATGAAGGAAAGCGCATTCGTATGCGGTAGAGATGAGCGTTCGTATGCGGCAGAGGGAGAGAAGTCAGACTCGCGAGCTTCCTTCCTAACTGGACTCGTTCCTCTCCCAGCAAGAGGACGTGCGTTCGTATGCGGCAGAGGGAGAGAAGTCAGACTCGCGAGCTTCCTTCCTAACTGGACTCGTTCCTCTCCCAGCAAGAGGACGTGCGTTCGTATGCGGCAGCATTCGTACGCGGCAGAGATGCGCATTCGTACACGGCGGAGATGAGCGTTCATATGCAGCGGAGGGAGAGAAATCAGATCAGACTCGCGAGAATCGTGGAGGCATCGTTCGTTCTATACGCGGAGGGAAAAATGCCATACTCACTTACTAACCCTAGCTAAAACGACGTCGTTTTGGAGGCATTTAGGGGTGGAAAAAAAAACCTAACTAGACTCGCGGACTCGGCCTCAGACTTGCGATTCTGAGCGAGTCTACCCGAGTCAGCCCGAGTCTACCAAAAAACGAGTCTATTCGCGAGTTAACCTGTTTTGCTACCCTAAACTCGTAGACTCGTACGAGTTTACGAGTTGACTCGCGAGTTTGACAACCATGTTTCTAACCCACCCAGTCAAGCTAGGGCATATAGTTCATATGAAAGCTGAGCTAGTTACAAAGATAACTTATAAGGATCTCTCATTAGATATGGTGAAAACATCTGCTAATTGAGCATTTAGATTGACAAAACAAGTGATAATATCTCTAGATTGTATCTTTTATGATAGAGTGACAATCTAGTGAATCTACATCAATCTGCATGGACATCCCCTGGAAAACAGGAATGGACAGAGTGTGAAATGAAATAGCTGGAACACCACAAGTAGCTGGAAAACAGGAATGGACACCACAAGTAGCTGGAACAACAGCAGGAACTAGGAAGGCAAATGAAATAGAGTGTCTGGAGGGGTCCTTGGGGCTGGGTCTAGTGGATGACCAAGCAGACATAAGAGACTTTGGTGATGGGCCACAGGCTAGAAAGGTCACCTGCAAACTGACCAATGGAAAATGGAGGGGTTATCTTCCAAAACATGAAATGGCAAGGGAGGCCAGTAAACTGTAGTGGAAACACAGTTGGCCCAAAAAAGAAATCACCAGGGGGCAGTAGGTCCCCTGGGGCTGGTAGTATATAGTTATGGGTTATATCTCTTTAGGCAATGGACACTCGCGAGATATTAAAAAGATAAGCATATGCAAAAAACAAGTGTTTGAATTACACAAGGAAATAGATGTTTAAGTAATGAATGTAAGAAAATGCAAAGAAACAAGTTTCCTAATTATTATATTTACTTAATATCTGTAATCTCTAACAGTTTAAATATGAAATAGCTTACCATGCCTTTTGCTCCCATATACAACCGTTTTATATTTGAAAATAATAATAAATTTCCACCACAAAATGAACTAACTTATTGTTTAGAAAACTGAATACAGTAGTAAACAATTAAATAGATTTCTCAAATAAATAATTCTTTGTATTACCATCCTAATCATTTTGTTTTAAACTTATTTTAATCAATTATTGAACGATTGAGCATAAAACAGAAATTATAGAACTATTTGTTCAATTATAAAATAGAGTACAGAAATGTAGAGTTTTCACATTCAATATTTTTCTCTACATCCTTGAGACAGATAATTTTAAGCTCTGAACAATCCATCATTACTACTACTTTACATATTACAGCACATGAAGCTAAATTATAAATTAACCATTTAAAATCAAGCTATGCTAAGGCCATATAAAGTGTAGACAAATTTCTGCGTATGAAATTGACAATTCATGCTTTTATCCTCAAAGGCAAGACAACAGATCCTCTATCTTATCTAACAATACCTAACTACAAGAAACATCATCATCATTCATCATTATCTTCAGCCAACCTATAAAAAGTAAAACCTGTTCTATTTAATAATGCATTATGGCCTTCAAAGTTTGGTCCATCAATAAATTAGCCAAAAAAAAACTCATCAGCTCTAAACACCAAAGGGAAAGCTGAGGCATATTTATTACGACTATGACCTGTTAAATTCGTTGCTCAAACTACTGAAGAAAGAACCACATAGTTTATTCTAGATGTCCTATTGAGAATTTAGACAGAGATTATCGATTTGTTTTTGAAATGCTAGTCAATGAATGAGTCTCAATAAAGCACCTCAAAGCCACGAATCATTTCATCCAGAAATGTCATACAATATGAACAATCAGATACAGAAGCCATGAAAATAATATTTCGTACAACAAACAGTGGCCAAAATATCAAGCTCAGTTGCCCATTTTTTTTGGATGAGGAAACAGGGCTAAAGCCTCAGTTGCCTACATTAAAATAATGATTTGGAAGATCCAACATGACCAACAATATTAACAGTTTTTAACAGAAACTGTAACTCCAATAGTTTTACCAAATTAAGGGACAAACAATGAGCAGATCCTCATAGCAGGATACTTTGCAGAATGCAAGGATGTTTCATATTGGGAAAAATCCAAGTTTTACATTGACTAAAGATACGGTAAACAATGAGTTTATAAGTGAGAGACAACCCTCACCTTACAAGCCGATCTAGTAGGATTGAATTAGGTCCAAAACCCACATTCTAAGATGTTATTAGAGATATAATAGATCCACTCTAAAAGCGCCGCCCACTATTAATACACGCATCAAGCCCAATAATGTTGGGTGTGAGAGGGTGTATTGGATAAAACTCAAGTCCCGCCTATCCTAGATCATTAAAAAGGGTCACCCATCATTTATCTACGTACCAAGCCTAATAGTGTTGGACACAAAGGAGTGCATTGGAAAAAGTCCAAGTTCTACATCGACTAGAAATAAGACAAAAAAAGTTTATAAGTGGGAGACAACCCTCACCTTACAAACAAGTTTTGTAGGATTGAGTTAGACCCAAAACTCATATTCTAAAATTTCAAGACTCATGTACTCACCAAATCCATGTCCATGCAATTCTTTTAAGGCATGCCCACTGGGATAGTTCCAATATGATGCCATGAAAGTTGTGATGGAGCCTCCAACACTGCAAGATAGAGAATAAGTACAAAAAGGAGGATATATCCATCACCAGTGAAACAAAATGACTAGCAAACTAACCTCACTAGAAGTAATCCCAACAAAATGAGGAAAAGCAAGTTCCAAATCATCTTTTTCTTGTTGTTGTAACTGAAAATTTTCAGGATGCATATCAATGAAGGTTAGGACTTAGTAACTTGAAAGGGTAGAAACCAAGAAAAAATATATATATAATTCTTCAAATTTCTGCTTAGATTGCAAATACAATTCAGCTCAATCATCAAACTTCAAATCAACCATGCATTTCTCATTCTGTTTAGAACTCCTTTCATTCTTCACGGGATCCATAAATATATTAAATTATGTATTTGCATATGGACCAGAGTTATGTATTTGGCTTCTCTTTGGCATTCAACTCACATCAGCTTCAACACTTTGTCTCACATATACAGATAAACTCGGCAGCTATGCTGCATTCTTAGTTTTATCTTTCCTATTCTCCTTTGTTTTCCGATTTCTAGTTTAGATGGATCTGTTGTCCTCGATCATTCTCCTCCTGTTTTATATCTAATTAACTTTTTTCTCTATGAAAACGGCAAGATGATGATGGTGATAATGATAGTAATAATGTGTTAAAAATATGCTTTTACTACTTATAAATATGGAAACATGCGACATACCCATCGCTAGACATTACAAATGATTTCAGACTTATGCTTTCTAATACTTGCGTTACTTTTCTCTTAAACTTGAGGGGAACGCAGCAATTGTAGGAGTGCATCCCAAAGATTCCCATCCTTCATCAAGTGTTTATCGAGATAAAGAGAGTGAGTAATCCTACTTTGGAGCATGGGGTAAATGTTTGGGTAGTGAGATTGACTCCCTATCCCGTTGTTTGTATTTATGTGCTCTACGAGGAACCTTGGGAAACTCCTATTTTTATTTGTGTTTTGAGTGATTGTTTGATAACATGATTCTATTGTGCTCTATTGTTATTAATTGTGCTCTCTACATGTTGTGAATTGTGGGGTTGGCCATGTCGAGCACGGGAGATCCTAGGGCTCTCAATTGACATTTTGTAAGCATGGGACCTCTAGAGTGCAACATGTGCTCTCAAAGGGTCAGGCATTAGGCATGGGGTGAGCCTCGTCAAGCACTATTTCAAAAACGAGTTAGGGCATAGTTGTTAAGGTTTAAGGCATCTTGGTGGTGTTTGACTTGGGAATAAGATTTGTGACATCGATAGAGAGGTGATAGTGACTAAGTAGTTAAGGTGATCTTAAACATAAAAGCTTGTTAATCTAGGTATATAGGATGGTGACTGATGTGCTTGTGTGTGAGGACATGTGATGGTTATATGATGTAAACTCTAAGCTAATGCTTAGCCGGGTTAAAAGTCTGGAGCATGTGTGCCTCGTTGTGATGTGATGAAATGTGAACATGTGAGAAGTATATGACATGAGTCGTGGAATGGGTCTTGTGTGACACGCATCATGTGCATAAAGGGTTTTGTGATGAGATTTGGTGTGAAATACAATGTCAGGGAAGGTCCCCTTGCTATGGCTTGGGATTCATGACCTTAGGAACAATTGGGTTTGGGAGCCCCAATTTCACCTATTTGAGTGCATGGGGTGTAACTTGTTGCGACACTGCTGTCTTGACATGCCTTGGTGTATCTTCCCTCTAGTGCAAAGTGTCGAGATGGGTCAAATACAAGCATGTCCTCTTAGGGTACCCTATGAACCTTTGGACGACGTGCAATGTGTTTTTACAAGTGTCACATGCACATAGAATTAGTACATTTGCATGACTTGCGATTATTGTAACCATGTTAATAATTGTTGATTTGTTTACTTATATTATGGACATGTATGTTGATATCATGTATGCTTGTGTTTATTGTTTGTGTGTGGCTATTTGACTTATCTCACATCGGTAGCTAGAGTGAGACATCTCACTCCTTTTTTTCTGCTTGTTGTTCTTGAATGTATGTGTTGCAAGTGAAGAACATCAGGATGATGATGCTAGTAATGCGGCTTAGGCCTTAACGTGTTTTATGGATGGAGCTCTAATAGAAGGTAACATCGAAGTTCTTAGTTTAGGCTTTTACACTCTTGGGTTTTTATTTACCTATGTTAGGACTCTTGTTTTTTAGTTTCTTTTAGATTTTGTAAAAAGGTATTGTGATAGCCATTTGTTTTTAGTTCCGTTACCTATTATCATATTTCTTCTCAAGACTTGTTTTATATTGAAACGAATGTGAATCATCTATACTTAGAGGTACATTATGAACTATTATTTATTTCAATTAAAGATATATTAAGACAAATCTCTATCATTTTATTATCTTTTATGAATATTAGCGCACAAAGTAGAGTGTGTCACAACATAGTCATCACTAATGATGACTCGACAAGTATCCACTGGCTCAAGTCCCACCTCCACAGTCAATTTCAAAAGGAATTGAGCCCACACAAATACTTCCTAGCCACGTATGCTCTTGATAATCTGATCGAGACCAGTATGTTTTATTATCACGCCAGTGTCAAGCTTCTTTTGGGGCAAGGGGACCACTAAAGGACCTAGGAAATCAATGCCTTGTGGGCAAATTTAACTACCTCACTATCACCACACCACACATACGTTTGCAGTGGGTGTGGAAAGTCAGTTCTTAAGTGCCCCTTGTTATAGGTATTGGGATGTTACACACAATGTTGTCAACATGGATAACGGAAAATCACAAAAGGCTGAAAATTCACTACATGATACAGGGGATATCATTGCAGCAACAGTGTATTATTGGAGTACTATAGTAAGCCCAGTCCAGAAGAACCAATATATGCAGAAGACTGGGTATGATGCTTTTTATAATGAAATAACTTGCTCCAAATCTCCAATATATTTTAGCTACAACAAGTTCTTCAACTTTTGGAGGGATGACAAAAAAAAAGGAATATGCATGTTTCTTAATGAACCACACAACAACCTCACATGAACAGCTGAGGCAAAATTCAAGTTTTCATGAAATAAAGAACCAGAAGCAACTTCCTCTCAGGTTCTCTTAATCAGTATAGTCGAATGTGAGCCAAACTTAATTCCTTGGTTTAAAGAGCTTCCTTGCTTGGCTTCATTCTTGAAGCCAAATTGTAGGTTGACTGACATTAAAAATGTTGAGAAAATTGTTCATAACCCAGTTACAAATGAAAAAGAATGCAGAGTTGCAGACTAATGCCATAAAAACAAAGACAGGAAAACAAATTCATTCATATTACAAATTCCCAATTATTTGGGTTTCCATATTATCCATTGCCAGTTGTATTTTAGTAGGCATGTAACACAATTCAATAACTTCAGAAAATACAAATAGAATCCAATTAATTTTTACAGACAGAAAACGTACATTCTGTTAGAAGCAATTGAAGCAGACAAGTTAAATATTGGAACTGAACTTATGATAAAACGGAGCTCCTGCAATATCCAGCAAAATGATATTACATGTTTCGGTTTGAAGACAGGCACAAATTAAGCAATGGATTTCAGATTATAATTTTAGTACCTTGTGGGGCAACTTAGAATAAAGCAAAATGAAGGCAAGAACTGGAAAAGTGAAAGATCGTGCCCTTCTGTCTACAAAAAGGCCAAACTGCAAAGAAGACAGCATGTCAAGTTGAAATAGAACCTTTCTTCTTTTCTTTTCCCAATTCTTTTTTTATTTTGATTTTTTTTCAGTGTGACTAAGGTAGAAAAAGTGGCCTATATATTGTAGGGCATTTGGTGTACTTCTGTAAGGCAAAAATACTCCTATGATTGGGTTTCAAATATTATCTGAAGAAAATAAAATCTAAATATCGTATAACAATCAAGTCCAAAAACACAAGGAACTCAAAAGATATTTATAACCCAAAGATAATGAATATCCCAGTTAAATATATAATCCTATTCAAGCATAAAATCCTAGCTAAATCCTAATTAAATATTAATTTCCCAAAAAGTTAAATCCAAATAAAATTAAACTACATAGGAAATTTTACCAAGACAACACTTTTCTTAAGAACATATATATAACTTAAAGATAAAACCACTAAAGTCTAAAATAATAAGACATCACTCAAATAAAAGGAATTTCTAAAATTTATGAGAATAACAAAAATCCATAAATAACACAATAATCATTAATGCTGCTCCATTCTGCATCAGCGTCCAAATTGTTAAAAACTAAAATCCATTTTCCTTAATATAACAGCCACCTTTCAATCAACATATGGTTGATATTAATCAAACTTTCCATACTCCTGAAAAATAAGTCATTGAATCTCTTAACAGATCAGGGAATTTAAGTAGGGCTCATTAATGATAATCAGGCCAGACGATTTAGAGATTATTTGGGGAATCTTCACAAATACTGCATTACTTTATACATTACTTTCGTTCCTGTAATTTGCTATATTGATAAATAAATAGAAATAACTTTTTTCACAAATTATACAGCATAGTGACCGACTAAAAAGTGCAAGGAAATAAAAATAATTAAATTCAGAAAACTAGGAAACTCAGAATTATACACAAAACTCTGAACTTGGAGAAAAAAAAAAACTATAGAAAAGGGAAAATATTTAATAAATAAATAAATAAATAGTAAAACAAAAATTCAATTAAAAAAAAAAACTTCTTGAAAGAAGTATATCATTTGATGTATCAGACAAGTTGCTTCATGTTGAGCTAGATTCATGCATCAGACAAGTGAATAAACTGTGAAAAATAAAGTCCCAATCACAGGAATGAAATGTTAAACAAAAATGTGAATCGAATATCTCTCTACAATTTTAATTGTATAGTGTATATAATTCTCCTAATCTAAAATCATTTATTTATTTATTTCCTTCCCATACAAATATTTATGATACATTTTTTGAGGACAGCAGCTATATTATCAAATATCTTATTATCATTTAAACTAGGTTTTCAAGAGCATAGATGACTAGGTGTACTCATGCCAGATGTTTGAACTGGCTCAAAAAAATAAGAAAAAGTTGTCAAAGCAAGTAGGTTAGATATGTTCTATATTAATTCATAGTTCAAAAGTATTAAACTATAAGTGGCAGCTCAAACTAGACAAAGGAAAATTTGGTTCTACCTTTAGACAGTTTGATTTTAAGGAGAAAACCCAAAGTATTTCATATTTAAGTTCCAAAATATTAACCAGTTCACTGGAAGTAGAAGAAACCACCATCTCAAGCTAGAAATCTACATAAGTTATGAAATAATTAGAGGATATTTGGTAATCCAACACATACCAGTGAAAGTGGATATGCAGCAAGTAGTGAACGAGGAAGTGCTGAGGTGAAGTACCAATGGAAAGCATGTGTCTAACAAAAATATAGTCAAGGAATGTAATAACTTATCAAAAACAAATAGGACAGTGTCATCAAAGGCAACATACAGTATGCAGATTTTAGATAATGATAAGGTTATTATGCCTTGTCAACGATCAGATCAATGAAGATTACAAGGATTAGCCACTAAACACCCAAACCCTAATTCTAATACACTGAAATCCCGATCCACAAAAAGCATTTGAAAGCTATCCTCTAAAATGAGAATTGTATCATCAGAAAACTTAAGACTAATAGAAAGACCATAACCACCTGTAAACCAATACCAATATCATTATCCACAAACAGCATTTGAAAGGATCCGATTCAGAAAATCAACCTCTAAACTGAACAAGAAAGGTGACAAAAGATCCTCTCTTGTAAATCCTTGTTATCCTTTAAACTAGAAGTAGCTTCATCATTTACAGTTTACACTCAAATAAAAGGTAGCAGGCCTGTTTGGATAAAATGTTTTATGCTTTCAGAAATACCTCTGTTTTCAATGATTTAGACAAGAAGTAGTTAAAATAAGATTTTGTTCTAATTTTTTCCTGTACAGTTTTTTGGAAACAGGAAAGGAAGTGAAAACAAGATGACATTTTTGCAATTATTTGTGAAAACAAGAAATGTTTTTTAACCAGAAGAAAATTAAAATTAACCTGGTCATGAAATATGTATATATTTGTATATTCTACAGTTGTTCAATATAAACTTGGTGAAGGATACTCCCCATTCAGAGCTCTTGTTTAGCACAGAGTTAAACCAAAAGACTTCAAATTCAGGCCACAATAATCTTTTCCACATAATTGAATCAACCAATATGGTTAGACCTGCGATCAGGAGACCTTAATGTTAGAATCAAATTTTAACAATAGCATCCCTATCATGCATAAATTTCTTTTTTATTTTTATTTAAATTGCAGACTAAAATAAAAAAGTACATCACCAACCTATGCAAAAGAGGGCCATCCAAGTGCAGTGTTTTAGAGCACCCAATACTGAAATTTTTTTTGTCTTCCCTTCAAGAGATGAATTTTATTAGGCACAAAGCATGATCATGTTACCATAAGATTGGAGTTGTCAGGAAAAAAAAAATCAATTAGATAATAATTCAACCAAAATTGCAAGGTCAGAAAATGAGGATAAGAAAATTCATCGAACAGAACAATGAACTTCAAATGCCAAATATCTCTTCACAAATAAATGCCAAATATTATAAACACTATTCTCCAATGATTGATAACAACAAAAGCATAGTTAATGTAACAAAGTTCTATATTTAAATGTTAAACAAATGTTATACATTGAGTAAATAGGATTTTACAACATGGGCTGGGGCTTAATTCAATCCTACAAGTTTGTAACTGGAGATTTATTTAAGTCATATCTCTAGTCAATGTGTGGCTAAATACATTCCCTCAAGGCTGCAATTAGGGCAGGTCAAGGGTGACCAAAATTACAGCAGTTTTCTATTGATGCTTTCCCAACAAGGCCACAATTGAGGCAGGCCAAGGGTGACTGCAATCATGGTGGTTTTCCAGCATAGGGATTCTATGGTGAGCCAATCAAACATTTCAAACACCATTGTTGATCATCCTATAACTTCTAAGACAGTGACAAAGCAACAGAAGTGTTGAAGAGTGCAATGATAGACAACTCAGAAATTGAAAGCCTTAAAATTGAAATACCGAGAATGTTGACATCGATATTAGAGCTGTTGACAGGACATGTCATAGATTACATTCCTAACTAATAGTGGTTTAGGAATCTATTCCCCTTGTTTTGGTCATTCATCCAATGTTATTACCTAACTACTAGTTTTTGCATCTGTTGCCATCTAACTAATTATTATGTCCTTAATTTTAAAGACTAATTTTACAAAACATATTCTGTAAATATTCAAAACAAAGTGACTATATATCAGAATAGAATTTCTTCTCTGTTTTTACAGGAAATGTGATCTTTATTACATTATCAAGATATTGACATCAGAAATCCAGAGTTTCTATGGAATAAATACACATATTCCAGTACCAGGAAATAATTCCTTCACTTGTCATCAAACTCAGAATAACATTATGAAAAGCAAGATAAGGAATAGGATGCAACAGTTTTAATAGACACCGAGAGTGGTGTTAGAAAATAAGAATAGATCAAGCATCCAACAGAAAATAAGACTTTTTCCTTCTTTTTCTTTTTAAAAAAATATAAAGAAAGTTTATCAGAAAAATGAGAACAGTACAAGTAGGGGGAAGCATCATAAGTTCATAACTCATTAGATATCCTCCACATCAAACTGTTAAAAGGGAGAACAATAAAGACATAATAGGCTGAATCCATGTGTCTCAACACTCAACTACACAACAAATGTTTATTAGATAGGAAAAATACATTTAATACGCATGAACAGGAAATATTTTGTCTTAGGATTTAGGATTTAGGATTTATTCTTTTGAATAATAAATGGGTATATTCTGTTCTGATTTTCAACACAAACAAATTAAAGAATTGACAGTATCTTGCAATTTGCATGCAGGTTAAGCACGATGTGAACTTGACAGGATCTCTATTAGTAGCTCAAACATTTAAGGAGAAGATAACTGTTGGAAATAGGAGTATTTAATGATTATTACTCTTCCTAGTTTCTTTGTTCATTGTATCTTAGGAAGTTGTGGTATTTTTAATTGTTGTCTTGGAAATAGTTGATGTCATTTATTATCTTTGTAACCACTATCATTATAAATAAGAACATTGTGCTGAGTGGAAAAATACACTCAAGCATATTCAGAAAATGTGTTCCCTATTTCTCTCTTTTAACATGGTATCAGAGCTCCTAATCTAAGGGGCTCTGCTTCCGCAACGCATACTTTTTAAGCAAGCTTGGCTGGGCTCTTGAAGCTGTCAAGCGTTCCGGCGACTTTCCGGCAACCTTTCTGTTTTTCCGACATTTTTTCTGGTGACCACCAGATTTCTGTCATGGAAGGGGAAGTTGTTCATCCACCCCCAAATAATCAATTTGGAGATTTGCAGAGCATTCATCCTTCCTATAGGTTGAATGGAAAAAATTATTTAAAGTGGTCACAACTTATTCGCACAATATTGAAAGGAAAAGGGAAAATCAACCACCTGACTGGTGCTGGTCCAAAGGAAGGAGACCCAAATTTTAAAGCATGGGATGAGGAAGATGCATTGATCATTGCTTGGCTATGGAATTCTATGAATACAGAAATTAGTGATACCATTATGTTTCTCAGCACAGCAAAAGAAATTTGGGATGCAATAGAGCAAACTTATTCCAAGGCTAAAGATGCTGCCCAGGTATATGATGTAAAG